ACAGCGAGAATAAAAGTTACGCCTTCTTTCTTTGCGTGAACATTTGGGTGACGTTATGCAAATCTTTCCACATAGTGATGTAGATATGTGGGGGTGTGTTAGAACGAGCCGTTTTAGGTAGGCGTGGCTGACTCTTAACTTTTATAAAGAATAAATCTTTGGATTTGAGACTTTAGTCTTTTCAACTTTACAGATCATCTTTATGCACCAAGAGCTTGTAACACTCCAAAGAGAAAGGAAAAATTGAAATCGCATCATATGACCCCTTTAAATGTATCCTTTTTTTGGCCTAATGCACAAAATCAGCGTTTGCATTTCTCTCTTGAAACTGCAAGAGTGATGTGTAGAGTATTGAAGACTGCACTCCATTCTATGAGGGGCCGTATAGGCCATAATTATTGAAAAGCCTCTTACAAACACTAGTGAAACGAAAAACATTGATAAACCTTAGTGAAATTCATTCATATGCATTACTGAAAACCTCTTACAAACACTAGTGAAACGAAAAACATTGATCAACCTTAGTGAAATTCATTCATACTAAGGTTGATAAGTGTTTTCACTAGTGTTTGTAAGAGGTTTTCAGTAATGCGTATGAATGAATTTCACTAAGGTTTATCAATGTTTTTCGTTTCACTAGTGTTTGTAAGAGGCTTTTCAATAATTATGGCCTATACGGCCCCTCATACCATTCAACAGATGACAGCAACATCTGACCTGTTGCCCATGATATCATCTGTCCCGAGTTTGTGTTGAACACACTCATTTAAATTTCAGATGCTCCACTCACTTGTTTCTCTTATTTCTGTGTGTAGACCGAAAGTGACTGTACATTCATTAATACTTAATTAACTCTAATTCTTAACACTGGGTGTGAGTGCAAGTGGGCAGTGCTACAAAAAGACCATCAATAAAGCTGCTTTTTTGATTATAGTGGGAACAATCCAGTTTGTCATGTTGCAGCACTGGAATTGACTGTAGATGCTAAACACTAATGATCATCCATTGATTACTAATGGAGAACTGTGGGACTTTTGCAAATTTTAGCCTTAAACTCTGTATTGTATCCTGAAAGCCTTTACATTATTCTGCGATAATATTTCAGGACTGGACAGCTCCATAATCTATCTATCTATCTATCTATCTATCTATCTATCTGTCTATCTGTCTGTCTGTCTGTATAAATGTATATATATAGTATGTATGCTAGATATAAGAAATACCATACATTTTCTCACCTTATTCTAATCCACACAATGTCAGGAATTTTTAATCCGTTTTAAAGATTCCTGAGCTTTAACCCTGTTAAGTAATAGAAACAAATTGTGACTCATTAGATGAGCATGTGATGGGAGTAGCAGTTTTTTTCACGGATTACATTATTTTCTGTGACTAAAACAGTTTGAGGTACATTCCTCGATCTTTAACACAAAATACTTTTTGAGATATAAATACCTGAGCTATGCCATGGTGAGTGAGCGGTGAGAGAATGGATTTTTCCTATAAGTGGATTTGTGAAAGAACAGTTATATTTTGTATATGCACTTATGTTTCAGTGCACGAAAACATGAGATTGAATTAAGTAATTTAATAAAGCGTGTTTTATTAAACAAGACAACACAAAGCAGTGGATGCCTGGAAGATCAAGACTTAACTTTGGGGATGTCCGTTTCTGGTCATAAGATGGTCTTATAATTGCACAATTAAATATATATCAGGATGCAAATAAGTATGTTGTGTGGTGGATTGGGTTTGTGTGGCACTCATGCTGTGTGTGGGTGATGGTCAGGAATAATAGAGTGATATAGTCACTGACTGCACCGTAGCAGGTGGCAGATGCTTTGCACTGGCTGTGACATAAATGATTCAATAGTTTGAGTGCAGTTGGTTCCCAGTTGCCTTATAGCCATTTGCAAATAATGCATGTGTTATTCAGTATGATTAAATTTGTGATATGAATGACTTTTGCCGTAGACACGTACAAAATTAAAAAGACTTTAAAGGATTTAAAGTCAACATAACTCCATAAATGTATGTCTGAATAAAACAGAATATTAAATGTGAAAATAGTGGAGCTTGATTTTACTCATTTACTTTTGATGTACTGCCATTCAAAAGTGCAACAAAGCTGCATTTATTAGATCACATAGTAAAGGTGATAAAATAATGAAAAAAATATTTTATTTTTGAATATATTGTAAAATGTAATTTATTCCTGGGGTGCAAAGCTGAATTTCTGGCATCATTACTTCAGTCTTCAGTGTCACATAATCCTTCAGAAATTATTCTAATATGCTGATTTGCTGCTCAAGAAACTTTTCGTATTATTATCAATGTTGAAAACAGTTGTGCTGCTGCATAATAAATGCTGTAAGATAAATTACGGTCCAAAGTTTAATACTAGCCTAAGTGTTAGTCATTTGTTCAAATCACTAATACGAAGCAATATTGTGATTCTTGCCTCATTAAACACACGTAATAATGTTTAATTAATAAATTGCACACAATAAGACCAGAAACATGTATTAACATCTTTTTATGTGTCATTGTAAAGACAGAAAATCCACTTTCTGTTTGCTTTGTTTCTTACTTAGACATGCAAACACATTCAAACCCAGAGTAACTGTGTCATGTCATAAGTCCTTTGTTGTATAGCATTCTGGACTGCATTGAATCTGATTATTTGTTAAGCCATTCCTGCATTAGGGTGTCTGCGGTGCTTGTAGTGGAGGCCCGGTGGAGTTCAAGCTGTGTAGCACAAGTACTGACCCCCACCCACCCATATAAATCAGGATAACACCAGCTGCCCGGTGACATCACAGCGCCCCCGCGTGCTGATTGGCCGATCAGTGCCATAGCCGGTTAGTATGGCTGCAGCTGTGGGATGCTGCCAGAACTAGAACAGACCTGAACAGAGCATCCACACCAGCACGACTCCCCAGCTCCACCAACAACAGGAAGTCGCCTAGCTCATAAAAACGGCCCTCGATTAGCAGCCTATCCACAGCGGAGGAGAGAGAGGGAGAGGGAGAGGGAGAGGGAGAGAGACAACAAGAGGAGGGGGAGGTTTCATCCTCCAGCACTCAGTCGCGCTGTGCTTTCACACGGAAAGCTCCTCCGCCTGCTCTGTTCTGCTTCCCAGAGGAAATAAAGGATAGCTGATCTGGTTTTCCTCCCTGGATGACACTTGCGCACTTTCACACATGAAGGACACAAAGAAACAAATGCAGGGAACATAATGGCTCATTTTAAGGACGTAGCCGTGAAAAAGACCACGTCTCTGAATCTGGTGACGGGATTCTTTCAGTATCTCCGTGGTAAGTGAGACATCGATGTCTCCTCTCATCCGACTGGAGTGTGAGAGCCTATAGCTCAGATTTACATGTAGACTGTGCTCCGCTAAATGTAGGTGAAACAGATGCATGATCCAGATATGCAGTGACACGTCTCTGGGTCATATGGCTCACTAGACATTATTGGCCAGCTGAGGTCTTCCTCATCTTACTCCTCGAGAGAGGTAATCACCTTGTTGGCACGGGTCACGGCTGAACACGAGTGCTGATGCGAACCTCTTTACAGCTGCGCATGTTGGATTATGACGGCTGTGGTGTGCTTAAGGCTGCACCGGCATGCCATGTGTGCTACAGTACTTGGATGCTTCCTAAACATGCCCCGTGCATTGCATTAGTACATGCATGCAAACATAGGATGTTGTCTGTTGTGAAAATCGCTGATCTGTCTGAGCCCATCATGCATAAATATGTCTGGTGTGTGTTTGTTGGTGACCTGAATGACCTTATCTGTGACTGAAAATGCTCTGCTAGATTTGTCTATTGTGTTAACAGATGTCACAAACTTCCATTCCTGCTGTTTGTGAAGTCAAGCATCTCTAGTACTATTGCTCATACTTAGGATTGGTGATTTGAACAGTACTAAATAGTTACAGTATTAAACTTTTTTCACCTTACAAACAATTAAAAAATCAGTAGAATATTATAGAAACTTGGGGTTGACGCCACCTAGCAGCACCCACAACACCATAGGAACCACTCAGAACATCTTTAGAACTGTGTAGCAATGGCCTGGCAACCACTTAGAACAACTTTGCAACTGCATAGCAACACCCTGGCAGCCATTCAGAACACACTAATGACTACACGGCAAATCCCTGGAATCCACACAGAACATCTAGCATCTTCATAGCAATGCCTTGACAACCACTCAGAAAATATTTATGGCTGCATGGCAACACCCTGGCAACCACTTAGAACACTTTTGCTACTGCATGGCAACACCCTGGCAACCACTCCAACACCTTTGCAGCGACTTTGCACTGCCCTTGCAACCACACAGAATATTCTAGCAACCACATAACAACATCCTAGCAACCACTCAGAACATCTTTATGGCTGCATCGAAACTTCCTGGCAACCATATAGAGTACCTTTGCAACTGCATAGGAACGGCCTGGCATCCACTCAAAATACCTTTGCAGTGCCTTGACAACAACACAGAACATCCTAACAACTCCATAGCAATGCCATAACAACCACTCAGAACATCTTTATGGCTGCATAGCAAAGGCCTAGCAACCACACAGAATTCCATTGCAACTGCTTAGCAACATCCTGGCAACCACCTAGAGCACACTAGGAACCACATGGCAACACCCTGGCAACCACATAGTACATTCTAGCATAGCAGTGCCATGACAGCCATTTAGACTATCTTTATGTTAGCATATAACACCCTGACAACCACCAGAACACTTTTGCAGACTATTTGCTCTGCCATGGCAACAACATAGAACATCCTGCATGGCAACACCCTGGTAACCACCCAGCACATCTAAACAACCACTCAGAACATCTTTGTAGCTGCATAGCAACACAAATCTTTATAAATCCATAGTAACAGTATGGCAACTGCTCAAAACATGCTAGCTATGGCATAGCAACGCAAATCCATAGTGACAGCCTGGCAACCGCTCAGAATGCCCTAACTGCATAGCAGTGCTTTAACAACCACCGTGTGACTTTACCGTGCGCATTTTCTTAGTTAAATAATCTCCTTGAGAGCTTGTGGTTTGCACATACATGAAAATGATGAGCATATCTGTGTGCGTCTGTGTAAAATCTGCATTTACGTTATTTATGCTGAGTATATGTAATAATGGGAATATTGGCACATGTTTCTGATGTTTTTGCTCATGCCACGTGTGGACTCTCAGCTCTCCTGTGCTGGTGAATATCTCCTCTCTAGCTCTGTAGACTTACAGTAATGAAAATGTACAGGATTCAGTAGTAATCCTCACAAATATAAGAAAATAGCCAGGCTAGTCATGATGACTGTGAGTAGAATGAAGAAGACAGGAAAGCGTAATATCTCACTGGATATTGAAGAGTAAATCATATCTGCTCACTTATTGTGTTTCTGTCTTTTGCAGATGAACAAGAGGCGGTGCAGAAAAGAACTTTCACAAAGTGGATTAATTCACACTTGGCCAAGGTAAGATGTTTTGCAGTTTTTTTCATCTGAATGCCACAACATTTAGCTTGTAGTACTATTTACACTGGATTACAGTACAACAACAACAGTGACCCAATACACTTTGGACACTTTTAAAAATGCTTGTTTGTTATGGCATTATATAACAAAATATCACGTGCCTTTTGTCGTGAGCAGTTTTTTGCTATGAGCTTTAATCAACTGTAAAAAATGACCGTGAATTTAACGGTAAAATACTGTAAAAATGCTACAGTAAAATCCTGTTAAATGGTTAACGGTAAATTCCCCTACTATATACAGTGAAAGACTGTATTGGACATTACATGTATTGGACATTAATTTTACGGTAGTATACCGTTTTTGGAAGTGAAAAAGACTGTATAATTTACAGTGAATAACCGTAAATTGACATTCCCAGAATTCCCTGCGTTACATTTCAAATTTGATGTTTTTTTGTTGAAATAACTATGTTTCTTCTTAGTTTTTAGGATTCAGTAGTAATCCTCACAAATATAAGAAAATAGCCAGGCTAGTCATGATGACTGTGAGTAGAATGAAGAAGACAGGAAAGCGTAATATCTCACTGGATATTGAAGAGTAAATCATATCTGCTCACTTATTGTGTTTCTGTCTTTTGCAGATGAACAAGAGGCGGTGCAGAAAAGAACTTTCACAAAGTGGATTAATTCACACTTGGCCAAGGTAAGATGTTTTGCAGTTTTTTTCATCTGAATGCCACAACATTTAGCTTGTAGTACTATTTACACTGGATTACAGTACAACAACAACAGTGACCCAATACACTTTGGACACTTTTAAAAATGCTTGTTTGTTATGGCATTATATAACAAAATATCACGTGCCTTTTGTGCTGAAATACTGCACAAATGTTGCTTTCACTTTTCTTTACGGTATTTAACTGTAAATTTAAGTTAAAACCGTAAAACCGAAAACGTTGCTACCGTATTTTTTACGGTAAAATTCCGGCAACCACAGCTGCCGTTTTTTTACCGTAAATTTTACAGAATTTTCTTTACAGTGGTGTGGCAATGATTTTTAGTAAATCTGTGAAGTTTTTCTCAGACTGACAACTGCAATCTTTATTTTGAACAGTAGCCACACCACCCTTCAAAAGTTTGGTGTCAGTAAGATTTTTTTGTTGTTGTTAAAAGAAATGAATACTTTTATTCAGTAAGGATCGATTTTGGGTAAGTTACTCAAAAAAGTAATCCACTACAAATTACTAATTACTTCTTTAAAATTGTAATTTGATTACATTACTGATTACTGCATTTAAAAAGTAATCAGATTACTAATTACTTTCAAGTTACTTTCAAGTTTACTTTACTTTTCAAGTTATTAAACCTAAACAATACACTACAAAGTGAAACTCATAGTTCTTTCATTAATTTAAAGGGGTCCTATTATGCTTTTTCCCTTTTTCAACTTTAGTTAGTCTGTAATGTTGCTGTTTGAGCATAAAAAAGATCTGCAAAGTTACAAAGCTCAAAGTCCACTTCAAAAGGAGATATTTTATTTAACAGAAATCACTTTTCAAAAACTACAACGAACGACTCGTTTGGACTACAACGCATATTTTCCGGGATTTGTGATATCACAAATACCGACGAATGAGACGAGACCTGGTTGAGCTGTACTAGAGAAGGCAATGAGTGTTATCACTATGTCGGAGACACGCTAGCTTTCCCAAAGCAGACGAACTTAGAGTGGTTACAATCAACCGGGTTTAAATCGCGCTCAAATTTATTTGATTTTGACGCAATATTTACACTGAAGCTCGCAGGCGGCTATGGTAAGGAGGGGCATGACATTTCCCGACCAGGCGCCGAGTGCTGCCAATCACAACACACACTGGCCCAGCTAACCAATCACAACACACACTGACCCAGTTAACCAATCACAGAACACACTGGCCCAGCTAACCAATCACAACACATTTCGTATTTCAGAAGGCGGCCCTTCACTTGATACAGGAACTATTCGAGCCGTTCATGCCAGACTGAGGAGAGAGGTGTTGTAATAATGTAAAATACGTGAAACAATGTTTTTCGAACTACCTAGTATGAGAGCCTGTTCTAGTACAACCCCAAGAGGTGCTGTAAATAATGTAAAATATGTGAAAAATAATGTGTTTTTCGAACAACCTAGTATGAGAGCCTGTTCTAGTACACCCCCAAAACAAAATCATAGCATAATAGGACCCCTTTAATATTGACTGAAAAATTACATAGGTATTATTTGTATACACTCGCAATAGCAACAAAACCTTTTTTCTTTTTTTTGGTTTTGTAAAATAAAGAAAACATAGGGTGCGCTTTCTGCATTCTCAGTCTCCACGAATATCTTCCTGAAACGAGTCACTAAAATGAACGAAAATGACATGAGAAATATATCTGAAGAAAGCTTGAAGTGTCTATTTTTAAATGAAGTAAGTCATGTCGAAAACAAATATTCTCTGATAAAATAATCCGTATGAAACCAACGCGAGGTACAGTCTTTCCCTACATAAACTTGTAAACATTCACTTGTTGAACTTTTCCCAAACTATAATGCCAGACTAAAATATGTGAAATCGAGTGCAACATTTTGAAATATGATAGGCAACCTTTCATTGCATCTAAATGTTGTAGGACTTGTCTGCATTAGCTCGCAATCTCCGGTGATTTATTAAAGGGCATACTGACGCGCAAAACATGATTTTTACTTCATATTTTTTAACACTGCATTTGTAACTTAAGTAATGTCATTTTATTGACATTAGTGTAACAAAGTTCGTAGTCGCGGGAACCGGCGAACATTTAAACACTTTAATAAAATAAACAAACACAAAATGAAAGTAAAGCGGCAGCCCCTCGCGGACGACTGCCGCACACAAAACACAAAATAAAATCCAG